ATTTCAGCCAGGGTTATTATAGTTAACTAAAACCGTTTAAAAAAAAATTACTTGAAATAAATAAATAAAATAAACCACAATATTTTATTTCAGCTAGTTGCCAAGTCAACATTTCTCATTTACATTTAGTTTAACTTGATGAACAAAAGTAACGAAAACTAAAACTGAATTAATAATAAACACTATTGACATTAAAAAAAAATAATAATAATAATAAAAGGCAAAACAAAAATAATAAAAATTATATAAACAATATAAAAATAAAAACATTCAAAATATTAATTAAAACTAAAACAGTATCTCAATATATATATATGTATATACTTTATTTAAAATTACATATAAAATATATAATTTTTTACACATTTATTTATTTAAATAGAAAAATGTATACCCATATATATATATATATATATATATATACACATTTTTATTTAAATTTTAAATATATACAAGTTTTAATAATATGTATATATAATTTCTGACAAAAAAAAAAGACTGGTACTCACATTATGATATTGATTAAATTAACTTAATCAGATATGATTGTTTCAACGTACCTCAGATCATCAGAAGCCAAATATGTCTTGGATTACATATACAGATCACCACTATAGTCCATAAACAATGATCTATTTTAAGATGCACGCTCAGGTTTAACATTTCAGCTCTTTACACACATGCAACAAGATCCAGTGTGTGTCAGACATCAGCACAAAACAAAACAGAGCTGGCTCGCAGTCTAAAGACGGCTTTAATCTGGCTCGGCACATGCTCAGCTCTAATTGTTCTGGTCGACTGATTTTGGTTGCCGTCCCTCCACACGCACACGTTTTCCGTCAGGATCTTTTTGTGCGGTGGTCTCTCCTAAATTCCCGTCGTCTGGACCGGCTCCATCCCTCCCTCTCGTGACGTCGCGACCTTCCCTCTCTCTACATTCTCTTCTTTCTGCAAATATTTTTCCACACCGCCGTCCAAACCATGAGGGCCTTTCTTTAGGCACTGATCTACATTTCCTTCACTTTTACTGGAATATCTCATTGGGTTTTTCGGCTGCGCCTCACTATATGATTTGGCTTCAGCGTCGGACGTGAACCTAAAAACCAGAATCAGTCTGAACGTGCAGAACAAAATAGTCTTTCAATTCATCACTTTTTGTAATGGAACCATGTAAAAGACAAGCACTTTCAGATAGGCGAGACCTGTAATTCATCAGACGCGCATCAGTGATACGAACTGAAATTATCAGGATCATTTGTACCAAAGCTGTCTGAAAGTTTCACTGTAATCAAATACACTGCACAAGAACTGAATCGGATGTCAGTGGTACAGTGTGGGATGTGGTTGCCATGGGAACGGTGTGATGCTGGATAGACAGAAGGAGATGAAGCGGTCAAGTGATGACACTAAAACATAATTAGAAACATCTGAATACCTTCACATATTGACAAGTGAACGCACATTAAACCTTTTTTGACCAAAAACAGCCCAGTGATTGACATACAAAGCGACCAATCAGAGTCTTTGCTTTGTTTTTATGTGCCATTTAGGGGCGGGTTCTGAAAAAGTTGATATGGTTATATTTGTTTTGACTGTATTTCAGCTTATTGCCATTTTAGCTTTAAAGGCTGTTATATGGCAGATACAGAAAATAATCAAACATACAATAAAATTCAGCTCATAAAAAATTCTGCATAGCATGAAAACTCTATAAAAGAGTTCATAAGACTGTCCAAAGCATCGTCTCATCATGTTACAGTCACCATGAAAGTAAAGACTTCTGTATTATGATGCATATCTGAGTGTAACGGATCATCGAAAAATAAACAATGTAGGGTAAAGAAAGAGGAAAGGAAAACATTTTCTGAATTTTGATTAAGCATTAACCAGGGGGGGAAAAAAAACCTGGATCCTCACAATAAGATCTATAACATGCACTTAGAAAATAGATTTTAATTTCATGCTGGATTTAAAAATAAAGCAGTCCAATAACCGTTTTACAGTCAAGAGAATGCAAACATATTGACATTTTTGTGGTTCGATCTCACAATAACAGACTAGAAAACAACACAAAACACTGAATGAAAAAGTGGAAAATGCCTGTCGATATTCAGATCAGAATTTTGTATTGTGTAGCACAGATTGTTTCATAGGTGTAGCATATTTTTTCAGAAAATAAGTCACACCGGGTCAAAACTGCATTGTTCAGAGGGTAAAAAAAATATATAAAATATATAAAAAAAATAAAATTAAGTTGCATCTCTGTAGTGCTGGGCGGTATACCGGTTCATACCGAATACCGGTGTTTATTTTTGTTATGATATGAATTTTTAAAATTCAGCAATACCGGTGTATGTCGCTTAAACAACGTTCGGAACGCGACACTGTTTGAAACGGGTCCGTTTTCACTGGTGCACTGTGGTGAGGGAACAGCTGTATGTGTTACTAAGCATGAAAGTTCCGAAACTGAAGCAAAGTGTGTGGAAAATGCTCTATACTAATAAACTTAGGCTCACGTAAACTCACTCATTCAGCGCAAATACACTTGTGTGCACAACGTTAATTGCATTATATAAGTTGCTTAGGATCATAAATCACAGCACGTCTAAGATGATTTTAAAAATGACGTCTAGTACAGAAAATACGGTCATTCAAAACAAAGCATAATATAAAACCTTATAGTTAGCTCACCCAAAAAAAAAAAACAAAAAAAAAAAGAATGAAAATTTTGCCATAATTTCCTCACCCTCAAGTCATTCCAAACCTGTATGAATTTCTTGCTTCTGTTCAACACAAAAGAAGACGTTTTGAAGAATGTTAGTACCAAACAGCTGCTGGTAGCCATTGACTTCCACAGAATTTTTTTTACCTACTATGGAAGTCAATGGCTACCGGCAACTGTTTGGTTGCCAACATTCTTCAAAACATCTTCTTTTACGCTCCACACAAGAAAGAAACTTTAGGACGAGTACATGATGACAGAATTGTAATTTTTGGGTGAACTCTGCCTTTTAAGGATCTCAAAGAACATCACAAAACAACTAAATCTCCCTCGGAGCTGCTGGTGAACTAGTAAACACGACTCAGTGACCATTAATGAGAGTGTTGAGCAGTTTAGTGTGCATCAGATGGTCATTTGCACACAAAACCGTCCTGTGATCATTTCAATTACAAATCACAGCACCGGCGGACTCATTAGGGTTTCACAGACCACTGCAGATCTTAATGCATGCGGAAAAGTTGGGATCAAACGCCTCCAAACAAACAATTATAATTGTGTAAATCTAACGAGGGAGCGTCTCTCTGGAGGAGACGTGCTGCCATCTACAGGACACTCGGAGACGACAATACAGACGATAAAACAAATGTTTGATGCGCACTTCAGCATGATTCTCTTTTACTGCTCCAATGCATCCAGAAAAACCATTTAGAGAACATATTTCTAATAAAATAATTTTTTTATTTTAAATAAATAAAACTATTTTACAGAAATGAATATTAGAAAAAACGAATAGAATATATTTAGAATAAAATAAAGTATTTTGTTTTAATATAAAATTAAATAAATAATACTATTTTGAATTAATAAATATTAGAAAATAATTAATGAGAAAATAAAAATACAATAAAATTTAAAGAACATATTTAGAATGAAATAAAATGTTTAATTTTAAATAAATAAAACTATTTTACATAAATAAATATTAGAAAAAGCGAATAGAATATATTTAGAATAAAATAAAATGAAGTATTTTGTTTTAATTTAAAATCAAATAAATAATACTATTTTAAATAAATAAATATTAGAAAATAAAAATTTAATTAAATTTAGAGAACATATTTAGAATAAAACAAAACAAGTGTTCTGTTTTATTTTAAATAAATACATAAATATTAGAAAATAAATAAAAAATAAGAGCATATATTCTAAATAAAATAAAATGTATTAGTACATTAGTATTTTGTTTATTTAAAATAAAATATTTTAAATAAATCTTAAATAGAAAATAAAATAGAGTATATATTTAAAATAAAACGAAATATTTTGTTCTATTTTATATAAAATAAAACAATATTAAATAAATAAATACACTTTATTATTTTAATTGTAGATGTATGAAAATATTATTAGAAAATAAAAAATGAAATGAAAAAATTCTCTTAAAAATAAACGTCCCACTAACTCTCACATAAAACTCTGAATGTGTAGTCATGAACCTTACAAACTTCTAGCAACTATTTTCAACTATTGCCACACTGTCACAGTATCCAGCCAGTAAACACAACTGTGAACCAGCCAATCAGACTGAAGCTGGTTGTTTTAAGAAAGCTTGCATCAGGCAGACTGTAGGCTTGTCCAAATACCCACACTTGCGGTATTGGCCACTTGAGAGTGCGTGCGCGCGACAGGAAGTAAGTGCGCAAGACTGTCCCAGGTCTTAAAAACGCCAGAGCGCAGTTCCCTTAACGCACACTAAACCCACACTATCTTGAATACCGCTACGGAGCGCTATTCGAGGCTTAGTGTATCCCATCATTAGGGATGTAACGATTAACCGCGAGCCGGTTGGAAATCGATTCAAATATGTGACTATTCAAATCGGTTGAGATGCTAAACCAATCGCGATTCATTTAGGTGTAGGAGTTTATAAGAATCCATGTCTGAGGGGAACTTACTGTCTTTAGAAAAGTTTAGATGGTATTATTTTCTTTTCCTCTTGCCTCTGTATAATGCATATTAAAGTTCATATGTGCAGCGCTCCTTTGTTTACCAATGTATGTTAAACACTATAAGTGTGTCCCATCAGGTAATGAAAAGTTGTACACACACTTGTGGTCTTCATGCTCACTTGAACACTTGGACCAAATACAGGAAATACGTCATATAAGTAGTCAAGTGCAAAGACCACAAGTGCGGGTATTTGGACAAGGCATGTGTGCAAACACTGACACACAACGACACAATCTATCAGTACATGAGATGACAGAGCGCCCCCTACCTGTCTGTAGGAGCAGATGATGATTTCCCGCAGGTGATAGTGCAGCGGTGTCATGGTCTCGCTGACGGAGTCTAACGCCAGATCAACCTCCCGCTTCATCCGGTGACCGTCAGGAAGCAAGCGGACCAACTTCATCACCACCTACAACACACACTCACACACACACACAAACACAGACACACACAGACAGAGACACACAGACACACAGACACAGTGTAAATGCATGTACAAATGTTATTAATATAACAAAACAAAACAAGTACTGATATTGGTTTGATGTGGACGAAAAGCATTTGTCTAAGCTTCATAAACCAAGTACAAAAATAAATGGAATTTAACATGATGCTTGAGCAGAAATTAAATAATGATAATAAAAATAAAAATAAAAGTATAATAAAAATGGTTATAAAACTACTATAATAAAAATATCATAGTACACACACATATATATATATATATACACATACACATACAAATATATTTAATTATAATAAAAACATTTAATATTAGATACTTATTTAATTATTAATATTAATTTGTATCATAAACCAAGCACAAAAAATGGAATTTAACATGATGCTTGAGTCAGTAAATTAAAACATGAGCAGAAATTAAATAATAATAACAAAAGTATAATAAAATGATCATAATAAAAATAATATAATACAAATAATTTAATTATAATACAAATATTTAATTATTAATTAAACATTGAAATGATAAATTATAAGTATTTATCTAATAATAATAATAATAATAAATTATTGATATAATTATTAAAATATTTAATATTAATATAAATATAACATACAGCATATATTGAGTTTGATCTGCCCTATACTTCTCCCAGCATCCTTAACCTGTCGAGGGTCACAGAAGACCTTTCTTTAGGTTTTCAGCTCATTTTAGTGTGTTTTTAGGGCAGTTGATCCCTCAGGTCACTGTTGCCCTGAATCCATCCTGAAGGTCAGTGAATCTGAGCTTCAGTTCCCAGAGTAACGTGTGGGTCAGAACTGAGGCGTATTGCACTTTTGCACGCCATCAGCAAGCTGAGGTCACGGCCTGAATTAATTAAACTAATTATGTATTAAGTTCCTAATAAAGACACAGCACAAGAGAGCCGACAGCAATTATTCCCAAAGACAGAGCTCACAATCTCAGATTTGTACGAGACTTAAACAGCGTCTCTCTCGTACCACTGATGCTATAAACCAGGTTTCATATGGGCTTACATTTCTGCCACAATTCTGCGCGCGAAAGATCATATTTTGAGTGCACAAAAGTGCATTTTGCACACGCGCGATCTGAGTTTGTGGAGAAAATTTTCGTTTCGCAAAGAAAAAAATATTTCGAGCACACGGAAATCAATTTTGCATTTAAAATACGTTTTTGGATGTGTGCAGACCTTCTCTTTTGCACGAAAAAGTATTTCGAGCGCACGGAAATCAATTTTGCATTTGAAAAATACATTTTTGGATGTGTGCAGACCTTCTCTTTTGCGCGTGCAACGTTTCACTAGCTTGCTCACCTGATGCCCCACCTCTGTGCTCGCTAAATGCCAACAGCTCGCGTGCTCAACACAACCCAGCGTTACAATGTGCCATAATTCCAGCCAATCAGAGACCGAGGCTGCTAAATTCTGATTGGCTGCCTTGACAACCAATCACAACATTCCTTGCATTACCTCGACAGCAGAAGAGGAAAAATACAGTGCATGCATAATTATTATACAAGTTGATATTCTGATCATATTTTTTTCCAAGCACATTTTACCAATAATTATAACTACTATTATTGATTTCCGTGCGCTCGAAAGACTTTGTTCTTTGCGAAACGAACATTTTCTCCACAAACTCAGATCGCGCGTGTGCAAAATGCACTTTTGTGCACTCAAAATATGATCTTTCGCGCGCAGAATTGTGGCAGAAATGTAAGCCCATAGTTTCATGTCACAAAAACCCTGAGGAATCAGAAGAACCATAAACCACAGGCTAACAGAGTGAAAACAGACAAGGAGCAGCCAAACAGACTTCTGGGAATGACAGAACAGGGTCTTGTTTTTAGTTTCAGACGCTCTCCAATATCGAAACCGCTTAAGATCTTAACCATGACGTGTAGGAAACGGATGCCTTTAATATTGAGACTCTAAATTCAGAGGCTTGAAAACTACATTGCGATAAACACGATCGATAACGGCTTCAATCCTTAATTAAATGCTCTATTACTAATGCACTCTGATTTTCTGATATCTTTGGAAAATGCTAAATATAAACCTATGAACTGAAATATTTTTCATGTACTCGTTTATAAAAAAGTTTTATACAAAGTACCCATTTACTGTAATGTATAGGGTGTATATTATGAAAACTGCATGTCTTGTTTATAAATGATATAGATATTTTGTCATCAAACTAAACATGAAATTAAAAAAATGTAGGTTATATTGAAAGGAAAGGACAAAATGCAGAAGTGCATCACCTCAAACTCGCCCTTTGTGTATTTGGCATCAGGAACGCTTACGATTTCATCCTCACAAGACTCTGGAAAACCCTGTCAAACAAAAAAACATCTTACAAGGAGAGAATCACGACAATGTAGCATAAATAATACACAGTTCCATGCAAAAATTATAACATAAATATGAGCATGTCTTCCCATGCAAACATGTACCTAAATAATCAAGCATCCACCATTTGAGACATTTATCATAATTTCTGTAAAAATACAGCGAGGTTCAAAAGTCTGAGACCACTTGAGAAAGTTATATACAATGATAAATTCAATAAAATAATTTGTTACAAACTGTGTAACAAAATATATTATCAGCATCACAATTTGAGTGAAATGTAGAATATATTATACTTAAAATACTTTTATGGTGGGTTTTTTTGTTCCTTTTGCTTGATAATCATGGTTTCTTTGAAATGTCTTTGTGTTCAATAAACAAACTAAAATAAAATAGCAAATATATACTATATGGCAAATATATTATCTATACCTCTACATCTTGTTAATTTCATCTTATTTAGTCATTTTAATCTTTAAATCAATAATGACTATGTTAAAAAAATTATAAAATAAATAATAAAATAAAATAGCAAATATATTATATACACACATATATATATTTATTATTATTAACATTAACATCATGATTTTTCAATGTCGTCTTACAGTTTTAGACCTTGCTGTATAATTTTTTATGACACACACAAGAACCAGTGACGTCTGGCATCAAACCTGACACGACCCATCAAGGTGGCATTTTTTTCATCTACACCTTATTCATTTTGTCTTATTTAATCATATTTTAATCTTTACTGGTGAATAATGAATTTAATTGCCTAAAAAAAAAAAAGTGCGTGTTTGATACAGACTGCTTGATGATACTTTTATGGTGCTTTTTGTCTCTTTTGGAGCTTGACAATCACGGTTTCTTAAAAAAATAAATAAAATAAAATAACCTGAGGGTTAGTTGATGACAAATAAAAAAATAATAATAATAATAAAATAATAATAAATAAAAATAAATAAAATAAAATAAAAATAAAAATAAATAACCTGAGGGTTAGTTGATGACATATTTCTGGGAATAAAATAAAATAAAAAAATTTTAGATCTCGCTGTATAATTTCTGTATTGTGTGATTGAGACGTACGTTGAAGTGCCAGAGCGTGAGCGCAGCGATCACCATTGCTGTGGTCGTCCGTCCTTTACCATTAGAGCAGTTAAAGACGAACGCAGAGAGCGAGTCTTCAGCAAGACAAGATTTCATCGCCTCCAGCAGCCTGTCGAAACCCTGAACACACACACACACACACACAGAGAGACAAACACACAG